AAAAAAAATCTGCTGTTCCGTGATAAAGTATTGAGAGCAAAAGTTGTGTCTTCCTGTTGGGAAAACAGGTAGGTTTAGGTCTGATCTTCAGAGCACAGTGTTTAAGACCTCAACTCAAGGCTGTTTTTTGAGTCCTGGAGTCTTCACTGAAGTGAACACCTTTTTTGCTATGTACCATACCTTCTTACAGTATAAGAAAGCTCTGCTCTTCTGCCCTGTCCTTTATCATACTGAATGGCAAACAAGCTCATAACGCAGACTTCTAAAAAGCGGCACACGTCTGATTCGGTGCTGTAAGTCTGGTTTCCTGTAAGTTGGTAACTGCAGCAGTTTCCATCTCCAAAGCGCTATACAAATATAGCTGTCTTACTGCATCGCTTAGGTGAAGGTGAGCTTTAGCATCAGCTTACTGTTGGAGAGGTGAAAGCAAAGAGGTTAAGTGACTTGCGTTAAGTGAATCAGTGGCAGAGTTGAGATTAAGACCTGGGTTCATGCCACTAGAGTGCACTACTTCCCTCTGGCTTATTGAAAGAGCGTTTAAATTTGCTCAGAGGTGTACTGTCTGTGGTGTGGGGTTTGGAAAATTGCTGCAGACTTGCTGAGCTACTGGGAGTTTCACTTTGGTCTTATCAGGTGAAACTCTGTTTCTACAGGTATCTTTTACCAAATATTTTTCTTGTTATCAGACTGGAATGGCAAAAAAAGGCTCATAAACGGGCTTTTTACCTCTGATGGATTTTATTGGAGATGAAAAGGGTATTTAGGAAAGAAAGGGTTCCTCATAGGTGAGTGTAATTAAAGCAAGATCTTTAAAATATTATCAAAATGACTTTTATGCTCTTAATGAAAGGTAGTTGACAATGAGTTCATAGTATTTTACCAAATAATGTAAGCATTCTTGTTTTTTTTTTTGCACAGGTTTCCACTTGAGTGGCACAGTGACAGAGCCTGCAATGCAATCGGAGCCAGAAACTGTTTGCAATGTAGCTATCAGCTTTGATCGTTGCAAGATTACCTCAGTGACCTGTAGCTGTGGAAACAAGGACATATTTTACTGTGCCCACGTTGTGGCACTCTCTTTATACCGGATCCGCAAGCC